GCTACATTGAACCGGAGGATGAAAGTACTCTTAGTGCACTCCAAAAGGATGCATTAGAGAAGGCTCGGGAGAAGGTTCAAAAGGCAATGACTCTCATTCATCAATGTTTGGATGACAATCAACTTGTGAAGGTTGCAAATGCAACTACTTCGAAGCAAGTTTGGGAGATTCTTCAAAATACATATCGTGGAGTCGATAAGGTAAAACGCGTTCGTCTCCAAACACTTAGAGGCGAGTTTGAGTCTCTTCAAATGAAGGAATCCGAGTCTATTTATGATTATTTTGATAGAGTTGAGAAGGTAGTAGATGAACTAAGGAGGAATGGAGAAAATTTGGAAGATACAAGAGTGGTAGAAAAAAATCTTCGCTCTTTAACTCCAAATTTTGAGCATGTTGTAGTAGCTATTGAGGAATCACATGATATAGACTCGATGACTATAGACCAACTTAACGGATCACTAGTGGCCCATGAAGAAAAAATGAAAAAGAAGAAAGTGCAATATCCGTTGGAGCAAGCACTTTATACACAACTTTCATTCAAAAGAGGTGATGGTCAAAGAGGGCGAGCTAGGGGCCGTGGACGAGGTCGAGGCCGAGGAAGAGGACATGGTGAAAATCACCAAGAATACGAAGAAGAGAAAAAACAACACTTCAAGCCGACAAGAGGTCGTGGAAGAGGCGGATACCAAAGGTATGAGAAATCACAAGTTAGATGCTATAATTGTGATAAATTTGGTCATTTCGCTTCTGATTGCAAGGCAAATTACTGTGAAGTGGAAGAAAAGTTTAACCAAGTCAAGGATGAAGTCGATCTTACCTTATTGATGGCACATGATCTTAAAGAGAAAGAAAGAGTGTGTGGGTATTAGATACCGGCGCAAGCAACCACATGACCGGTGATAAAACCATGTTCGCGGAAATTAAACAAGCCAATGGAAAAGTCACATTTGGAGACGAGTCAAAGGTGTCGGTGGAAGGAAGAGGTAATATCTTAATCCGTCTAAAAGATGGTAGTCACCAATTTATTTCCGATGTTTATTATGTGCCCAATCTAAAAAATAATATTTTGAGTTTGGGGCAACTTCTAGAAAAAGGTTATGACATCAATCTAAAAGATAATAATCTTTTTCTAAGAAGTGAAGGAAGATTAATAACCAAAGTGCCAATGACGAAAAATAGAATGTTTTTATTGGAGATTCAAAATGATGTAGCAAAATGCTTACATTCATGTTTAAAAGATGATTCGTGGTTATGGCACTTAAGGTTTGGGCACTTGAACTTTGGTGGCTTTAATTTATTATCAAGAACCAAAATGGTTGATGGGATGCCAATCATAAATCATCCAAATCAATTGTGTGAGGGGTGTCTTTTAGGAAAACATGCAAGAAAGGGTTTTCCAAAAGAATCAAATTTTAGAGTTAAGAGGCCCTTGGAATTATTAGTTCACAAAATGCACCATACAACAAAAACAAATGCATAATACATATTTTACCTTACGGAAGACGAAAATGGAAAACAAACACAATTTCAACAAATATTAAAATAATTATATAATCTCTTTACATTAATGAAGCTGCAGTTCGGCTTCATTCATAATTCATATACAATAGAGTACACATAAGGAAAACATACATACAAAGTGAAAAAACGTAACATTATCAACATTTAATTATAAATCTGTTAGTAAGAAGATACATGATAAAATCGACTTGAATTGCGAATCAATTGCACGTCCTGGACACACGAACATAACACACGATCAACATCTGAAGTTTTGTGTGTGTGTATAAAACAAAGTTCAAGAAAAATATATGAGTACCTGATTCCTTGGCGTTTCATGTTAATGAAGAGAGATGATTAACTGTAGCAAATCATATTCCTCGATGAAGAAGACAAGCGCAGAGATGAAATCCATGATCGATCGGAAAGATGGAATGAGAGAATAAACGGAAAGAAAGCGGTTATAAGAATGGAAAGTAACCAACGTGATTTGTGTTCCATTATAGAAGTGGATTAATTGACTAAAACACCCTCAATTTTAATTAGTTGGCTGTGAACAGTTAACATAGATACGAACGGTAATCTGCACTAAATGAATGGCAAGGATTAGTTTGTAGGTTAGTAAATTAAACCTAGTTTGTATTTGATCTCTAATATATATTTATATATATATATATGAATATTTATATATAATCAATTTTATGTGATACCAATGTATCATAAATTTAATTGATGCTAACATGTCAACTATAAAGTGATATTATTTTATCATAATTATTTATGATACTTTATAAGTGACACAAAATTTAGTGTCCAAATTCCCGACCTTCTAAGAAACTTTTCTAGTGTCACTAAAACTTTCCGTGACACTAAATTAGTGACACTTTACTAGTGACACTAAATTTAGTGTCAAAATTCCCGACCGTTTTTCTACTAGTGGGTGGAGAGGAGATTTCGTTGAAAATTATATAATTAGGTGGTTCTATATATGCAGTGGTCACTGTGAATGGGTGGTCACTGGACGACCGCATTGGTCACAATAGGCGGTTGCGGCGGTCTCTATGAACAAGTGGTCATTTTCATCGGCGGCTGGTGGTGGTCATTGAGCTGTGGCCCGCGACCAGCGGTGACTTGATGAGGCATTAAGTCACTTGATAGTTATAACTATAGCTAGGGCTCGTGACCGGCTCGGTTTGGCGGTCCGGGACCGGGTGTAGACCCGAACCGGCGGGGAAGGGCGGGGTGGGCTCGGTTCAGGCTAATGGTGACCCGGCACAACCGGGTCGGGACCGGGTCCCGGTCCAACGGCCATATTTAAAAAAAAAATTGTTTGGACTTTTGGGCCACAAAGAGCCGTTGGGGGTGGGCTGGGGACTACCCAAACGGCTATATAGCCATTGGGTGGGCTGGGGACTACCCAAACGGCTATATAGCCGTTGGGTGGGCTGGCAGGGGGTCCGAGCGGTTTGGGGGGGTGGGGGTGGGGTGGGGTAAAAAAAACTATAAATACACCAAATCTTAAACATTTTTCCATGTCTCTTCCTAAATCCTACACTCTACTCTCTAATTATTATCTTGATATTCATCTTCTCAAATGCACTTATTCTCCAATATATTATATATCTATTTATATTATTTATCTACTTATAAATACATATATTAATATTACTTATATTTCTTATCTACTTATATATTAATTATCTACTTATAAATACATATATTATATTACTTAGATTACATTTTTAAGATGGAAGGTTGTTGATATGAGTAACCTCGAACGCAACCGAACGAACGAGCTTGCAAGGAAGAAACCCCGCAAAGGTAAATCACATATCGGCTCTTCATCTCAAAGCTAAGATGATTTTGATACAGGTTACACAAGGAGGGATGGGGATGCCATGACCGACGAACAACTAGAACAAGAATTGCACCGACATAATAGTCGGTTTTTCCAAGACCAGCCTAGGACCATTGACGAAGAAGAGCTCGAGGACGACGATGTGGAGGAAGTAATTCCGGACAGCCACGACGGCGACACGGAGGAGGGTGGCGGCAGCCACGATGCCGACGAGCCTGCCTTATCCCAAATAGGTACGAAAAAAAGTAGATCTGAATTAATGCAAAATAATTTTGATAAGTGGAAGGACCCGAACACCGGGAATTGGAACGCAACTTGCAAGTGGTGCAAGAAAAATTATAGCTTGGGGATTTCCGGCGGATACGGATCTGCCGCGAGGCATCTTAAGTCCAAACACCCGGTGGAGTATGCAAAATTAGGCGGCTAATTTTGAAATCTTCATCTAAAGGAAAATCAATTTTGAAATCTACATTTGCCAATCTTATTAAAAAAAACTAAAACAACACCCGCTATTCAACAAAACACAATTAATGAGATTTCTTTGTATTTAACATATGATGTTGATTTTGAAGAAGATGATGACTTTGACGTTCTAAACTGGTGGAAGGGAAAAGAAAGAATGTTCCTGGTTTTAGTAAAGATGGCTAAGCAAGTGCTATCAATGCCAGTTTCAACAGTTGCCGTCGAACAAGAATTTAGTTCGGCCGCCAATGTCCTAACGCAATGTAGAACGAGGTTGAGCGCAGAATCTCTTGAGATGCTTATATGCTACCACAATTGGTTGAAGGTGGCCCGTAGAGCTCAAGAAATTGACATCACTCCATCCCAACACTTTATGGGTAAATCTACAACCGAGGGTGGCTCTACCTATTACGAAGATTCCGATTGATTAGTATTTCACTATTTCATGTTTTAACTTTACCTTCAATTGTAACTTGTAGTTCATATTTCAAATAAAGGGAAAATCGCATGTATGGTCCCTCAGTTATCCACGAAATTAAAATCTCAGACCTATATTTCTGAGATTGTAAATGTCACCCCTGAATTGTTCAAATTGTTGTAAATGTGGTCCTTTAAGTGGTTAAATGTCACAACATTTTGGAGAATTGAGGGGTGACATTTACAATCTCAGAAATACAGGTCTGAGATTTTAATTTCGTGGATAACTGAGGGACCATATATGCTATTTTCCCTCAAATAAATATACGTTCATTTTTTTATATGTAGCATTTTTTACTTAATTCATAAAATTAATTAATTAATTTTACATTATGTAATTTATTCAAACTAAAATAAACAAAAAAAAAATTAAATCGAAGGCCCCAAATGGCTATATAGCCATTGGGACTTGGGCACTTCGGTTGTTTGAAATTTGAATCAATAGAGCCGTTGGGGGTGAGGGTGGGGTGGGTGGTGGGGGTACAAAAATTTCTATAAATACTCCTATTTTCTAACATTTTTATACACATCTTCTCCAATATCCAATCTCCATTCTCCATCTTCATCTCCATCTATTCTAGTATTTGTAGAATTATTATATCTTCCATTTTTTAAGGGAGATTAATTAAGGGAGATTAGAATTTTGGTTGATGATCTTGCTATTATTAATTGCCATGTTCCCCCTCGCAAAGTACTATTATGGGTTTGGATTTCGAGTATGAATCTATGTTCACTACTGCTCGCTATTCCCTAACAATTTTCTGTTTGAGAAACTTCGCAATCATCTTCTTGAACAAGAGCAGCAGGTTCTTTATCTCGGCTCCTAGGGCACTTCATCTATCCATCAGGCTTTCGGTGCTGCCACTTCTTTTCCCGGGCAGTCCGCCAGTTCACAGCTGGCCCAACAGATGCAGGGGTCTCATCCGTCGGCGAGCCAGCAGCAGCGTCGTTTAGGGCAGCCGCAACGAGGCCGTGGACGTGGTCGCGGCAGGGGGCGTGGTGGCAGGGGCAGAGGTCGAGGACAACAGGTGCAGCCCGTGTTTTGGTACCCGCAACAGACTAAGGTGGGTTACAGCGCGGCAAGGGGTGGATCCTCCGTTCCAGCTGGGTATGCTCCACATCCAGGGGGTGTGCAAACTACGGTATTGTCATCTGTAATTCTGCCATGTCACATTTAAATATTAATGCATTACATGTTGGTGTTACTAATACTAGTTCTGCAGGCTTACCATCAGAAGGGGGTATTCTTGGTTCTGTTCCCCATCCTGTTGTATGTCAAATTTGCTTTTCTGTAGGCCATTCTGCTGTTACTTGTCCCCCACGCTTTACTCAGCCTTCTGCTCCTGCTTTGTTGACTACTCCTGGGGATTCTAATCCGGCCATATGGTATCCTGACTCTGGAGCTTCTGCTCACATGACTGCATCTGAAGGTATTTTGCTTAATAAATCTGCTTACACTGGCTACAATTCTGTTAGTGTTGCAAATGGTGCCCATTTACCCATCTGTCATGTTGGTGATGTTGCATTACCGTCTTCTGGTCGTTCTCTCACCTTAAAATCTGTTTATCATGTGCCTCAGTTAAAATATAATTTAATTTCTATTAAGTGGCTTTGCGCAGATAATAATTGTACTGTCGTTTTTGATAAAAATTCTTTTTTTATTAAGGACAAAGCCTTGGAGGTGGTGCTTCTGCGAGCTACCAGTAGTGAGCCACCCTATCCTCTCCGTTTGCCAGATTTTCCATCCGTAGCTTTAGCCTCTGTTTTAGTGTCTGGCCCTGTGTGGCACCGTAGATTAGGTCATTGTGGTGATACTATTTTACAGTTTCTTAAACGAAAACTATTTTTATGTAGTCATACTCCCTTTACTCATGAATGTATTGCGTGCCGGTTAGGAAAATCACAATGTTTGCCCTTTACGGATGCTTGTCATAAGTCTTCTCTTCCTTTACAACTTATTCATTCTGATGTATGGCAATCTCCGATTCGTTCTAATTTGGGGTTTAAATATTATGTCTGTTTTATTGATGATTTTTCTCGGTTTACTTGGATATATCCCATGTGTCACAAAAGTGAAGTTTCTGTGCATTTTAAAAATTTTAAAGCTCTGGTTGAAAATCTTTTTAATCAGAAAATCAAAAAATTTCAAAGTGAATTTGTTAATCATACTATGCAGCAATTTTTTCCTGATAATGGCATTTATTTTCAAAAATCTTGTCCTCATACACCTCAACAAAATGGGGTTGCCGAAAGAAAACACCATTATCTTCTTGAATTAACTAGGACTATGCTTCTTGAGGCATCTGTTCCTAGTCAATATTGGGTTGATGCTATTTTCACTGCTGCATATATCATTAAAAGATTACCGTCTCCTACACTGAAGGATATTTCTCCATATCAAAAACTTTTTCACCGTGTTCCTGACTACTCATTTATGCGTGCTTTTGGTTGTGCATGTTATCCGAATTTTTCATCCACTTCGGCTAACAAACTCTCCCCTAGGTCTGTCGAATGTGTTTTTCTTGGCTATGCATCTGACTATAAGGACTATCGTTGTTTTGATCCCGCTACCGGTCATGTCTATATCAGTCGTCATGTTAGGTTCCACGAGGATACTTATCCCTTTAAAACCCTTATGTCATCTAGACCATCCCTTCCCCCAACACAGCCAACCTTTTCCATGCCCTCACCAGTTACTCGGCTGATCCCCCTGCTCAACCTCCAGCCACCCACCCGCTCTCGCCCCACGCCAACTATCCTTCCTCCCCATCAGAACCTGCCACTAGGACAACCACAATACCCAGCTCCTCGCCGTCACCTTCCTCCTCCTGGTCGCCCAGCTCCACGCCACTATCCAAGCGGTCCTCCACCGCCTCTTTCCATTTAGAGTTTGACGCTGGGTCTCCACCTCCCACTCCATCTGCCCACCGTGACATTTCCCAGTCCGACCATGCGTCTGCAAATCCTATCCAGCATGCTCGGAGTAAGCATATCCAGATTGATTATCATTTTGTTCGCGAACGTGTTGTCCATGGAGATCTGATCGTTCAGCATGTTCCTACACATCTACTGTTGGCATATATTTTTACTAAGAGTCTTCCTACTCAGCGTTTTCATTTTTTGAAAGACAACATGCGCGTTGTTTCTCCCGCACAGCTTGAGGGGCTGTAATAGAATTATTAGACCATTAGTATTGTACTTTACATTAAACTCTCCTATTATAAATATATCTACCAGAGCTCCTTAGAGAGCATCATGTTCCATTATTCTCACAGATTCCACCTATGCTTGTACCACATGTAGAAATGAGTGTAACGCTTGTACATGTAACGATTAATGTTCTTACTCGTTGAGTTGTGCACTATAAACATTGATCATAAATAGACTGAGTTTTTTGAACATTTTCGAAACTTTGAGTTTTTTTATTAATAAAAATAAATTCACATGCTTATGCATTTTTTTGTAGAACTCTGCATTCCTAGATGATCGAATTACAATTGTTTCATTTATTTATTTAATTGTTTCTTATCATATTATACAGAAGAAATTACTCATCATAGAACTAAAATATAGCATTTTTTCCAGAGTAAGATCATATGCTTAATTTTAACTAAACATTACATATCTACTCCTAATTAATTACATAATTCATATAAATAATTGTCCTAGTTCCCTTGCATAACCAAAGTAATTTTTTTGGTGGTGGATCCATCAACAAAATGACTTTCTGAAAGTGACGGTCTAAATTTAAAAGTCTACCGACTTTTTAAAATTCTATAAACTTATTAATGAATTTAAAAGTAAGTCAATAGAATTTATTCATAAAAAAAATCAATGAATTTAAAAGTCCATAAACATTTTTAAAAGTTCATGGATTAAAAAAAATTCACCTCAATTTATATTCAACACACCCTCTTTAAATGTATGCGTACACAACATCAATATCCAAATAAACACGATACGTATTTTCAGTATTACGAATGTTACGTCCTCATCTGTTATGCATGCAAGCAACATGAGCATCAAACGTGATGGGAAAAACTGAGATTTTAGATATCCAGTACCATCAACTAAACTGAGGCCTTCCTTATGTTTATTATTTTAAGATGCTTTTCGTGTTTTGTTCAAAAAACGCATATTGTCTATTTATAGGATTTTTTTTCTTATATTGAAAAACATATGATCACTTAAGTGGAAAATTTCAGCATAAATATAGACACTAAAGAAGTTACATTTTAATTTGTTTATCATCTTTATTGTAATAATAAATATGTCATTATTTCATCTATTAAATCGTCAATCTCATTTATAATGTTTAACTGAATCCGTCAATCTGATTAGTGACGTTTCTATGTATAATATTTAACTGATCATAAAGTTAAATGAAATTTAGTTGATCGTATAATTGTAAGGGTGATCATGTATCGATTCATGTTAGCTAGCCGACCCCAATATCTTTTGGGACTAAGGCTAGCTTGGATGTTGTTGTTGTATAATTGTAAGGGTAAATAATGGTAATCTCTTTTTATATTACTTTTGTAACATACATGTACACAGTTTAATGGTCATACAAGATCAAATCACAACAAAAAATGCAAACAATAAACTCGGACTTGAAAAAACAATATAATTAATCGAATAGGATCATATATATGTGAAAATAGGAGACTTGCATAGATTTCTCTAATAGAAAGACAATCCAAGACAAAAACTCTACCCTTAGTTATTGTCCCTTTTCATGGACCAATCAAGATTTTGCATTTAAATAATTAAAATATAAATAAATCATGAATTAATTATATGAACCAATCATATGTGTTATATAGGTACGGTACCTTCACGTTTTAATTTGATGGGGTACTGTAGCAAGCACCACTTTTTTAAATAAATAAACTTATGTGTTCATAAGAATGCTAGCAAGAAACATGTTATTGAATCATCTAAGGCTATAATGAGATGAGAGATCCATAGAGCAGAAACATGCATCCTACAAATCCTTTCAGATCACTAATTCCATAATAGTGTAGTATTATACGAAGTATTGTTTAAGATCTATGATGCACTTGCTTCTACAATGAAAAGATAAAAAAGCTACCAATAAAAGATTCGAACAGCTTCACCGGCAATCACTAGCAATCTAAAAGGGAGAATTGATATGATCAGTGTAACACCCCGCCCCGTAGGGCCTGAGATAGTTACTCCTACAATGAAAAGATAAAAAACTACCAATAAAAGATTCGATCAGCTTCACCGGCAATCACCAACAATCTGAAAGGGAGAATTGATATGATCAGTGTAACACCCCGCCCCGTAGGGCCTGAAGTAGTTACTCCTACACACCCTCCGGACCTCTAGTACTGTTCTCACAAACGTCCACTAACCTTTAATGCGCACTTTGTCCTCACTCGTGCGCGCCCTAAGAAACTTTCCAGGGGGTCACCCATCCCAAGACTACTTCCGTGCAAGCATGCTTAACTTTGGAGTTCTTAGCTAATGAGCTCCTTAAAAGGAGATGCACCTTGTTGGTATGAGTAGTACTATTAATCCTCTTGAATTAATCTCGAGTATTACAAGCAGCATCCAACAAAGAAAGCTCTACCAAGAAGAAATTACACGAATTATTGGTTTGACCAGCCACAAAAAAGAAGATCCAAATAGCGTTATCCTTCCCAATCTTAAAGATCGAATGCCTCATTAGAATTTAATTTACCGTTGCAGGCCACACTAATACTACGTATGTAGGACAATGTTATATTGTTAATGGCAGCTTGGACGGTGTCACACACTCTTTGAGTGAAACTGCAGAAGTTTCAGGGTGCTACTCTTAAAATCAGTTTTTTAGAAGCTGGAGAAGACAAGCTTCTAAAAAACTAATTTTGATTCTGTTTCTCGTTCATCCAGAACATATGAGTTCTACTGCGTGGAAAAGAATAAGGACGTTACGAGAAGAAACAAAAAAATTAAATCGTATCTTTGTAAAATACATTTTGTAAAATTAAATAGAATAGGTCGTCGGCGCACGCAAGTCACAGTTTTTCTTCTCAGTTTTCAGGATTTAATCAACACCCCCTACACGTGAAGAGAGCCTTTCCACGTAGGAATCTTAAATCTTTCAAAGAGGGTCACCTTTATAAGGGGATTAAAATCTCTTGGATTTTCCGGTGTGGGATAAATCACACTAGAAACTCATCATTTTCTCAGTTTTTCCATTTCAACGAGTGAATTTCAAGAATCAATTTCTCATTCACCCGTTATCCGTTTTGAGTGTACCACATATCGAATTGAAGCCCTTAACAAGAGAAATCCGAAATCATTTTGAAACGACCCAAATCGGAAGTGTATCTCACTCAAAATATTACCCCAAATTGACCATTTAATGCAATTTTAACACATTTTTCCAACAATTACAATCACTTCAATCATTTTACATTCTCTTTATTTATTTACTTGCAAAATGTATAATACTACATATTTACTTGCAACATTTGTAGCTTAGTACTACTCATGTTTTCTAGTTTATTGAAAATTTAACTTTGCACTTCACTTTTTTAAAATATATGGGCAGTTTGGACTTGCATTTCATTTTCATAATCATTAATGTATAAAACTTAGTGGTGCAAAAATTGTGAAGGAGAGACAAAGTCAATTGATTCTATACCTAAGACTCAATATTTGTCCTAAAAGATCAACTTGATATTTATAATAGTCTGAGATCTAATATAATCGTTTAACACACATATTTAATTTTTCTTGTGTGGGAAATACTTCAAGATATATTTTCAGATAGGTACACATAATTGATCAAATAAAAATAAATCTTAGGTGAAGAATGGAGATTCATATGTGTGTGTATCCGTGTAT